GTAGATGCTACTGTCAGTGGTATTCTGGTTGCCTTTCTGTATCCTTTGTCAAAGAACAAGCCCTGTCCGTACTGTGAACCCATAGCAGTTGGAAACTTCAGAACAGAAATGGGACAATCAACAAACTACCTAAGCTGCTGTGTTCAACTGGTCCTACCGATGAGAAGAAACTGCACAGGGAACTCAGCAGCAAGTGGCTCAGACTTGTACATGGTTTAGATTAGAGAATTTCACTCATAGAAGCTTAGGCTTTCATCCCATTAACAGCCACTGATTTGCGTTTTGGAATAGCTCAAGAAGTAAAAAACAAGAGTACAGTCTCTGCTTTCCATGGAGGAATGTTTTTCTGTTAAATAAATTAATAGAGTAAATGAAAAATTAGGCTAACATCTGCCCTACTTAAAGGAATAAATTTCATTAAAGTCCTTTGAAAGCCCTAATCATGACATGTTAATTGTTATTCATTCTTATCTGTTCTCCATAAGGAATCACCTGCAAATCAATACTTCAATTTCCATGTTCATTTTACTTTATGTACTGGAAACTACATTAAATTGCCTTTTTAGAGCAACTTTCCCATATGTCAGATGTTCTTCTTCCACCATGGAAGAGAATTTTATCACTTACAACTCAGAGGAACGTGGACTATTCTGAGATCCACCTGCAGGTTACAATAACCAAAATTCTCAAGTCTTAAGAATTATAAAGTCTACTGGAAAGTGGGCTACTGCCTCACTTTCTTGCCAGCCATTTGAGATGATTCTTATTTCCCATTGAATTCCCTGTTTTCCTGATAGGGAGAGAAGTCACCCAAAAATGTTTCTCCCTGAGACACCTCAGTGTACCAGGATTAGAGTTACAGAAAATAAGATCAAGTTCATTAAATATTTCCTTCAGTGTATAAAGTCTTCCATCATCAATCTAAAGGCAAAGAAGCTATAATGTAAATACTATCTACCGTGGGAGGGAATTTTACTGTATGCATAATGTGTAAAACATCTTCCAAGGAGTCGTCATCAGGTCCCTGAAGCTGCACAAGGTTGCAGGTAGGAGATATGATTACATCCCCCAAAGCCTTGAGAAATGCAAATTTTGTTAAATAAATACATTTAGTTTGATAAAATACCTATGTTGTTTTCCAGATAGACACTGCAAATTTTTAAGTGAGTAAATACTTTTCAACCTTCTTCATTGCCTCTATTCTTTTATCCCAGTCATCTCTTCAAAATAAATGTTAAAAATTGTAACTTGCAAAGGCAGCATTTTTGACAGTATTTTCTCATTTTCCCTACTGCTAAGGAGCATGCCTTTCTGGTTTGCTGATGATAATAATACATTTGTATGTGATTCTACAAAAGCATTCACAAATAATTACAAATCAAGAGTTTTCTGTTTCTCTGTCTATATACTGATGTGAGTTAAATGGATAAATTTCAAGAACACTTTCAAGTCCTATAGTATAAAAAGGTCTAGGGACTACAAAGAACTGATCTGTTCTTCAATCTTTATGCAGATTCTTGCTCAGCTAATCCAAGCTGTGTGCAAAATCCTTCAAAGGAATTTGATTCCACAACCTTTCTCAGAAACCTTCCCGATGACTTTATCAGAAAGACCACCTTCTTTTTGAGGAGAAGTTTTCTATGCATGATTTTGGGCTTAAATGCCTTCATAGTGAGTCATTAGCAAAATGGAAAACAAACAGATACTGCTTAGAAAGCTCTTTCAGACACTAAAACAAAAATCCAAACACTTATAGAAGACTAAATTTTTGAGCACATCTAGAAAATAGCCAACTCGATACTTCTGACTGTAGTTACTGAAATCTCAGAGAATTGTACTTTGAGTCTCTCTCCTGTTATAGCTACTGTATATGATGTTAGAAACCCAGGGATGTTTCCATAAGATCTTGCTTTTAATGGGTCATGATAAACATGAAGGGACTTACCAAAAAGGAGATGAAACACTTGGTATGGAATGTGATAAATATCTCAAAGGGATTCTGTAGTAGATGACTCCAAGGTACAGAGGCATACATTAGAGTGACTCTTAAATGGTCTGTAATGGTCAGAGAAGACTTCTCAAAGGTGGAAACTTCTAAGCAAAGTTCTACAGAAAGAGTAGAATTGAATGAGCTGAGGAAAGGACAGCATGTGCCTGTGTTTAAGGAGAACTGAGGTGAGGGCAAGTCCAACAGAGGACAGCAGAGCTACTCAAATTGGGCTTTGGTATGCACAGGATGAGGGAGTTGCCAGAAGTCCAGCTGGACAGGTGTTTGTGACTCAGGCCATGCACAGGCCAAGCACAGTATCAAATGTGCTGCACCATCTCTCATCCCCTGGACACCATCAGACCTCTATCCCACAGCAGGCACTTCTCTCTGTTTGTATCTATGGCCCCAGGCACAGGGCTGCTTGCAAAGATGCTTACAGCAGTTTCTAAGAGCTGGTGAACGACTGAATGGGAGACATGAATCATTTGAAGGTAACAATATGTAATACAACAACCATTGTTAATTTCCTATCACCTTGTTTGGAATTCTGTATTGCTTGTATTGTTTCTGTGTTATTTTGTAAATGTCTGTGTGTCTGTTAATATGTTTTTATTTTTTAATCTTCAAAATTAAAAAAAATAACATCACCAGGACAGGTATAGGAAAGTAAGATATCTGTTTCTCCACTAGTTTCAATTTTCTCACAGACATGGGTGAGGAACTATATTTGGGGGCATGGTAGCAAGAGCTGCACAAAGGCAAACAGATGCTCTAAAGTCTAATGAATATGACACCTATGAATATAACTCCTGATACAGTATTTCTAGGAGAGGTTATTAGAATTCTTCCACATTTAGTGCAATGGGAGAAAGTCAAACCAGTATTCATTTCCTTATACTGGGCATCAGCCGACCCTGTGCTAGAACACAAAATAATAATACTTATGTGATATGTTCTCAGGGTAGTTGGGAAGGTAGGACTGCCAGCATTCAATGTTTTATTTGCTTACTTATATGTTTGTTTAATGAGTTGATGGATGCCAAGTTCAAAACTCACTTCCTCCACACTTAATCGTATTTAAAAAGCCACCCCAAAGTAATTCATCACACATGCCTAGGAATAGTTCCTGAAAAAAGACAATGCAAAAGACACATCTTCATCGCCACTGGATATGACATGTGCGTGACAGACTGTGTTTACTCAGTGGAGTGACAGGGAAAAGTTTGCACAAAGACACAGGAAGTTCTAGCTGCAGCACAGACTTCCGGTGAAGCAGGGACTGCCTTTGGGTGGTGGCTGCAGAATGTATGCAAATGAAGCAGGCAGGGCTGTTTAGGGCTTCTAATCAACAAAGTGATAAGCCAGTAATTAGGTTTCAACTGATTCAGATTCCATTTTCGGCACTAATTGGGGGGAAATATGCAGATTGCTAGTTAATAATAGAAGAGTTATAGTTCCAGAGTCATTTTCTTACAGTTCATCTATTTGTTTGATTGCTTGTGTGGCAAACACTTATCTTCCCTGGATATGTTTAGCTATTTGTGGCTTTCTTAAAAACAACTATTTATTAATTATATTACAGATGCCTTTAAAGAACAATGGTTGCTCCTTATGGCCTGTAGAAGGTTGTTTTGAAACCTGGCAGTTGCTGGGGTGACAGTACTTCAGATAATGTGAGAGGGGGACCAAGACAGAAGCTTGCAGCTTCTATTAATGAGTGTTAGGAGGAGAGAATAGTGGGGCTATTGAGGCAAAACACAAATTCTTGGAATAAATACGTGCTAAATTTCACTCTACCATTTACCCACTTTTAGATAAAATTATCTGCCTAGTCAGGTCACAGAAATTTCTGCCCACCCTCAAATCCCACACACTCTTTTGTTTTCACATTTATAGTTCTGCTTAGTTTTACCCAGTGGGTTTTTCTCTTCTAATTTTCTGGTAATTTCTCTTCTCAAAAAAATTCAAACAAGCCTTCCCTCCTTGCTGTAGTTATATGGCTTGGTTTACTTTAGCTTCTAGTTGGATTGATGCCTGTTAATGGGCCTGGCTTTGTGCTAAGTGATACGAATACAGTAAACACACAGTGAGTTTGTGAATAGCACGGAGATGGAAGAATAAACATTACTCACAGGCTTAAAGTCTACAGTAGGGCTCATCAAATGAACTGACTACAAGTAACATGAAAGAAAGACTAAGCTCAGAGAGTAGAAAGTAAAGGAGTGGGCAAAGGAAAGCAGTGGTTCTCAAATCTTAGCACGCATACACAGCACCTGGGGCTCTGCACAGAGATTCTGTTTGAGAGTGTTTGGGGGACCAGGAATTTGCTTTCCCACATGTTCTATATTAGACCTTGAACCACTGTCCCAGTAAAACTAACTTAGAGAGCACATGCTTCACAAAAGCATGTAAATTACAAAATATTTTGAACAAAATGTAACTTTGAAACACACATGCACAAACACACACACATCATTTCTCAGGCTATATTAGGTCCATTAACGTCCTGTTTATCAATTCTGACACAAACAAAACTAGAAAATTAGACAGGGGAGTTATGAAGAACTGGGTCATGAGCCTCAGACAAATCAATGTTAATTTGGAACTGCTTTCATTTACTTTTTTCTTTGATTGTAGAGAAGTCCCACTGGGAGATTTAGGATTGTTTGTTCTTAGGTCCATATCAAAGAGGAGGTAAGCCTGGGACAAAGTATATTATGAAACCTTCTATAACCCTTAGCTTGTTATTTTTTATTATAAAGATGAAATCAAGTCAAGGCAACCACAAACAAAGATAGGTAAGAGAAAGTTTCCAAAACAAATCGCAGGGACTTAAAAAAAAAAAAAAGAAAAGAGGAGGTAGGAGGGGCCTTACCTAGGAATGAGAGGATGAACAACTAATTCTGGAAGAATCATACCTTAATCAGAAAATACGTTTAGATTTCTTAAAGACATAGTTGTCCTGCAAAGCCTCCATGCACCCATAGGTGGGACTTTTCTAGGGTGATTTAACCACAGGGTCTTTATAGCTAAATGTGATGTTAGGGGGTGGAACTTGGCCAGAAGAGGCAGGTTAGTGGAAGCATGATCTGGCAGAGTATCTCTCACACTCTCTGTCTCCCCCTTTTTCTTCCCTTCACTTTGCGACCTGGCTTCTATGAGGTGAGCAGATTTCCTCCTTAGCAGACCCTTCCAGCATGCTGTCAATCATGCAAAGACTGCAACTTCTGATACGTGAGTCAAAATTATCCTCTCATCCTTTAAGTTTCAGGCGACAAGTATTTTGTCCCAATGATGAGAAATGTGGCTAAGACCTATTTTGATACCAGAGAAATGAAGACATTGCTAAGGGTGTGCCTATGTACCTGCAGGTGGTTCAGAAGGCTTTGGAACTGGTTCATAGGAGGAGTTTGGAAAGGTTTAGAAATACCAGATAGAGAAGCCCTAGAATGCTGTGAGTCAAACTTGATGGGAGATTCTGCTCTGAACTAAGAAGATCAAAATACTGATTTAAAAAGACAGATCATAAGACCAAGCTCAGAAGGTTTCAGTTGGGAATAAGGACTCCATTGGAAGTTAGACTCCAGACCATGTGTTACACTCTGGCAGAAAAAAAAAAAAAAAAAAAATTGTCTATATTTCACAGTTGTCGTTGAGGGTGACTGAGGTAAAGGGAAGTAGACAAACTAATCTGACATTGGAAATTTCAAGACAGCCCAATGTTTGGGCTTTGGCATTGATACTATTGTCTTTTTTTTTTTTTTTTAGCTGCGCTATACTGAGATTCAAGAGAAAATGGCACCATCGAGTGATTTTCAGTTTTCAAATTCCCATAAAGTATTGGTGGAGGACAGCTTGGTTGCTGAAAACATAAGCATTAAAAGTGAAGTCAATTGCTTCATGTGAGGATAACGGAAAAGATGTCTTGAAAGCATCTGAGGAATAGGCAAGACCTTATTCTTTGAAGGCTCCAGGGTGCAAAAGTGAAAGACTTTGCTTTGAGAAGTCAGATCCCATGCATTCTGCTCAAGAAAAGTTGCCTAGTAAATTGGTTTTCAAAACCCAATTCACAGTGCTCAGCCATTCAGACACTCTGAGACCTCTTCAACCATGATGCAAAAAGGCCTGGTTACTGCCGGGGCTGGCAGCAGACATTAACATCAACCATGTGGTCCTAGTTTTATAGGCATGCATAATGCAAGATCTGTAGGGTCAAGGATGCTTCTACCAAGATTTCAGAGGAAGGCCTTGAAGGCTATGCAGTGTGCCCCTGGAATGACAGTGAGTGAAGCTGTTAGAGTGAAGCTCAAAGTAGAGTGAAGATCCAAGGAAGGTGAAGAAGCCAGGAGCATGGAAGATCTGTGGACATCTATAGGCATGAGCAAAGCCAGCCTAAGAGAGAAGCCATGAGGGCTGCAACCGCCAGCAGTACTTTAGGGACAGAACTGTACAAGCCATTTGGAGATCTCATCTTTGACCCTCGTCCTGGACAAGGAATTACAGAATTCAATATTTGCTTTTCTGGGTTTCAGTCTTGTTTTGGTCTCATTAGCCTCTATACGCCTATTTCTCCCTTTTGGAACTGTAGTGTTTACCCTGTGCCATTATATGCTGGCAGTATTTTACTTTCTCTTTGGTTTTCATAGGGGTTCACAGCTAAGCATTTTTATTTATTTTAAAGAGAATTTTTAAAAACCAATAAAAATGATACTAAATTTCAAAACAAGATGATAGGAAATTAACAATGGTTATTATATTGCATATTGTTATCTTCAAAGTAGTTGCTCAGATTACCAGGTACAGGCATGTAAAATTGATCAAGCAATATAAGTACTAACTGTTCCTTTCAAAGAACTAATAGAAATTAGTAGTACAATTATCTTAGCTGGAACTGTTATGACTTCGGTGACTCTTCAGGGTGTACTAAATGCATTTTGCATAAAGAAATGGGCATGACTCTTTTGGAGGCAGAGGCAGAATGTTATGGTTTATGTCTAGATTTTGCTCAAAGTCTCATGTGCTCATACATGGGGCTTTCGAAAGGTGATTTAATCATGGGCCTCTATACTTAAATGTGATGTTAGAAGGTAGGGCTTTGTTGAAAGAGGTGGGTCACTGGAAGAATGACCTAGTGTGTATGTCACTCTCCTTCATTCCTCCTTCCTTCACTACCACGAGGTAAGCAGCTTTCCTCCATGGTGGGTTCTTCCTCTCTGCTGCTGAATGAGCAGGGACTGAAATTCCTGAAATGTGAGCCAAGGTAAACCTCACTTCCTTTACACTTTAAGTGTTGGGTATTTTTCCCCAGCAATGAGGACAGTGACTAAGATACCTTATGTAATGTATAGTATATATTAGGTATTGTAAGAAGAATATTACTAAATTTAATCCTCACAGTTCTTAAATATTGCAAGCATCGTATTTATTTTTCAGCTTTAAAATGGGCAAATTGAGCCTTAAAGAGGTAAAGAAATTTATGTAATATAAAAAGATCATTTGTCACACAGCTCATTGAAACTGTTCTCTTTTCTATTGATTTGACTATGTTATTATATTCCTCTTTTTCATATGTTCATAATGATTTTGAAATCCCTTGTCCTGCCACACATGCTACCATCTAGTAACACAAAAGTCCCCACAAAATATGCTATGACTCATTGAGCTTAATTACATCCTGAGTAAAATTCCACACACTAAAGTTATTTTGCTGAAGTGATAATGTATGTGATTGCCCTAGGAGTGAAGATGTTGGAAGAAGAACTAGAGTAGATTTTGGGTTCCTGGTATTTCATAAACACATTAGGGGCCATACAGCCTTGAGATATAACTCTTATTGAAGTTTCATATATATTGGTTTTACTTTTTTCTGTACTTAAAGTAACATTATGCAATTTCAAACATAGTTGCCCCAAATAACATTAGACTTGACCAACATCAGCTTAAAACTAGAAGTCAGGAAATGGAAAGCAAAATGTCTAGAGGAAGTAGTCTAGGGGAGAGTCAGCCATTCAGTGAAGCTATCAAAAATGAAGGCTTTTTTAACTTTCAATGATCTCCCAGCCCATCCCCCTCACTTAATTAATTTTCTTCACATGACTGGAAGGTGGTAACAGTAGTAGATCCTTGTCTCACTATACCACATAGGAAAGAAGGACAGAATTGGCTAAAAGGGCTGCCTCTTCATTCATGAATAAAATCTTTCCTAGACTCCCTCTTATGGTGATAGCTTCAGTGCAAGACAGAAACAAGATTAAGTTTCACTAGGATTGGAGCCAACCAATCAAGTTTCATTTGCTAGATATGGGTAAAAATTTAATCTGGGGGAATAACTGACTTTAAGTTACAAGGATGAGGGCATAGCTATGGATAGAACTATCACTGTTTATCACACAGTCACACTACTTCCCCCAATATGTCTTACCATGTAAGATTTTTGTTTGAAGGGTATAGAAAACATGTTAATTAAGACAGCACTTGTTATATAAGAATTTGTAATTTAATACAAATCCAAACTGCACTGCAGAGACCAAACAGGTGATGTTGGAAGAAAAGAGCTATCACAGTTAGGGGAAAGTTAAAAATAACCTGCACAGGGTATAGAGAAAAAAAAGTAATCTCTTATTCCATCTTCCCAGATTTCATCTTACAGTAAATGCCAGTTCCTGAGGAGGCTTTGATTTGTCAGATACATATCTGATAGCAGAATCAAAATGTGTGTAGGCAAGCCACATATTTGCATCTGCTTTAATTTAGGAACGTTGCCCTAGTAAATGAGAAAAAGAACTTAATTTTGTTCTGCCTCTGAAAACTATTATGAGTGACTCACAGTGAATGTTGCATCATTGGATATTAATAATAATAATTTAAAAGTAGGCCTGCAGCCTGGGTCTTTATTAGATTCACTTCCAGTGCTATTCAAAGTTACTGAGAATGTCAGCTTAAAATAAAAAGATATTCATGAGTGACTGCTTTCAGGCCACATAGATCACCTGTGATTTGGACCATTCTTGTTTAATTTGTAATCTACACTACTATTTTTATTATACTCCTGTCCACTCTTCCGCTTATAGGGATTATGATGACCTTCTTAGGAACTCTATTCTGCAGTATTTAAAACAGGTTCCAAATTCATGACTAAATTTTGAAATTGTCTTCTCTGGCTCCTAAAAAGAGACCATTTCAGGTCACTGGACTCATTTAAACACCAACCCAGGCAAGTACACTACCCTGCCTTAACAAGGTGGTTGGTGGAAATTCTGAATGAATGTCACACAAATGCTAATTATGTCTAGTAAGAACTCTAAGATTCCTACTACTTCCAAATCTTTATGCAGTATAGTTAACAGTATAGACTCTGAAACCATACTACTTGGTGTCCTTTACTCTCCTGCTTACAGACACCTTGACAGGTTCTTCCACTTCCTTACACTTCTAGCTTCTCTTCAGTAAATTGGGCTTTAAAAAAATCAGAATATTCATTTTCTAAAGATTAAATGAAAGGATAGATTTAAGAGATTATTATTCATTAACTACTTATTAACACAAATTCTACTATTTTATTTGCTGTCAAAACTGCTGCTACTGAAAATACTATTACAAATACTGTTCTACTATTAATACTATTATACATCATTCCTACTTTTGCTGGACATATGTTTCCATCTTTATACAGCCTTTTATTCACCCAAAATTCCTTAAAGGTATATAACACATCATTATCAAAGCTTAGTAAGGCAAAACAAAATTTCAACATTTTCATGGAGTCTATGGTTAAGGAATTTAGACAGAGCCCTCTAAGGATAGCTCATTCTGCTCAGGGAGTCTGGGGCAAGCTCAAAGCCTGGATGTAGGGGGCACAGCTGGGACAGCCCAAGGCTAGGGGATGGAATCATCCAGACTTCCTGTACATGTCTGACCTCTGCACTGGAACAGCTGGAGCTCTCTGAATATCTCTTTCCAAATGTGTGGTCTACTCACAAGGTCCCTCCAATTTGGGAGCCTCAAACAGCTGTACTTCTTACGCAACACCTTGAGCAGCTCAAGGTGTGTGTTTCTCTGTAGCAAGGGAGATCAGGGAAGAAACATTACATTCTCTTCAGATCTTTGCTTCAGAAGTTCTGCAACATCAATTCTGTTCCTTTCCTAGATCCACCATTGTAAAAGGGAGAGGACCTAGTCCCACCTCTTGAGGGAAGAGTATCAGGGCATCACTGGAAGAAGGCAAGAGAAGTGGAAGTTGTAATAGTGGGCTCAGGTGTGGACATAAGCCTGAACATCTTGAGAATATAAATATGTTGCATTCAATTAGATTTGACCTTTAACAAGAAGAAAAATAGCTCTTTTCTTTTGAAGATCTTATTCCTGTCTCATTGTACACTATTTTGAGAGAATCAGAATACTTCCCTTAATGATAGCCTTTTACCTTAGTCCTTCCTTAAAGAGAGGTAAGGCTTTCTGGGTTGGCATATGAAGACTGTGGTGAAAGTACCGGAAGGGGTCTATGTTGCTTTTCAGTGAGTTAAGGGCCAGTTTTTTTCTGCAACACTGTACAGGCTTACTTTTCTGTGTCCAAGACACATCCTTAAATAGATTCTTTATTTTCCTCATTAAGAGAATTTCAGCCTCAGGTGTTAGATCTCTAGTTTTCTGGAACCTCTTTCTTATTAGCTAGTTCATATACTTAACTTTTATTTCCTTAAAATCTTTCCTGTCAATACAAAAGTCTCCTTAACCTAGATTTATTAGCCTTCTTATAAGAGGTGCACTTACTTGGACTTCCTAAACTCCTATTACTTTCCTAAGAGTATCTATTGTCATTCTGTTATCTTTATTCATGCCATAATGTACCCTCACCAGTTTCTCCTTTTCTGTTTTCAAGGTGTTGGTCATTTTCAAACCAAGTTCAAGGCCAGAAAGCTATTTAACTTATTTTCACATCAGTGTATACTAATAACAGTAACAAAACATACATACATATGCACATATGTGTATATAATACACAGTCATTTTAGGAAATATTTCTAAATGCTTGGAATGCTGTATTATAACTTGGGTTTTATGTTCTATGTGTATTCATCCTGTTCAACAAAGGATTCTTGACTTCTAATTTGTCTTTTGTGTCTTTATGCCACAAATACCCCAGCTTTATCCTGTATTATGTTCCAAATGTATTTACTTCTCAATGAATTATATTGCTTGGCAGAGAGATTTGCTTAGGAATGGGTGGCATTACAAAACAAAAAGACAAGAACAGCAAAACCTCTAATTCAACAGCTCTTCCCTTTGAAGCTCTTATTTCTCTTACATAGTTCATTACTTTGAAGGAATATTTTACCAGAGAATATTTTACAAATATTTCACCCAGAAAGGAAATCAGAACTTGCTATAATGCTAAACCTCTAGAGGAGAACTCTGCAATGTTTGGAAACATTGCTTTAAAAAAGAACTGCTACAATGTCTCAGACAACCTGAATTTGTCTGTCTGCCTTTCATGTCTTTGTATTGATCTACTCGTGTG